CCTCCCACGGATTCAACACTCAGACAGAGCAGCATTGATGGCGCGACGCTCGCTGGCAGCAGCTCACCTCGCAGCGAGGAGTCAGAACCAGAACAACGTGCTGGAATGAAACAGTCCTCCACAAACGTGCACTGTTGTGGCTGCGCTCGGCTTGTTCAGGGACAGGACGTGACTTCCTTTAACGTCTAGAAACGAGACAACCAGCAGGACTTCAGATCATTTGTATGAACCGGACACCGATTAAAACAAGGAACGTAATAAAACTTAAGATTCACCGACAGAATGAGTCAGAGCTGCAGCCTGAACTAAAACAAGCAGCTTTTATTTCAGCTGAAATCATCTGAAGGTGAGAAACGACGGAGCTGCAGCTGGAAACTGAGACGTCAACACTTTCATCTGTCAGCAAAATATCTTATGAGACATTGGACTGATCTTAATGTCACCGAACAATCAGCTGATTGATCTTTGGATTCATCAAAACCACCACGACTAACCAACGTCAGAAACTCAAACAAGGTTCAAGTGAAGTCAGACGGATCTTCACTGAGCTCAGGTCAGTGTGGTAGTAGCTGAGAGTCATCCCAGCACTAACTGACAGGCGGAGTAAACAAACAAACAAACAAACAAACAGCCTGAACACGTACAGAAAAACTACAAACAGTTGATGATGACTCGACCGTTTCTCACAAAACATTTTGGATTTTTCGTCACCTACGTGTGACGGAGGAGACTCTTCAGACCCGAGAGGACTCTTCAGACCCGAGGACACTCTTCAGACCCGAGGACACTCTTCAGACCCAAGGGGACCCTTCAGACCCGAGAGGACTCTTCAGACCCGAGAGGACTCTTCAGACCCGAGGAGACTCTTCAGACCCGAGGGGACCCTTCAGACCAGAGAGGACCCTTCAGACCTGAGGAGACTCTTCAGACCTGAGAGGACTCTTCAAACCAGAGGAGACGACTCTTCAGACCCGAGGAGGAGACTTTTCAGACCCGAGGGGACTCTTCAGACCAGAGGCGACTCTTCAGAACCGAGGAAACTCTTCAGACCCGAGGAGGAGACTCTTCAGACCTGAGGAGACGACTCTTCAGACCCAAGGTGGAGACTCTTCAGACCCGAGGAGACTCTTCAGACCCAAGGAGACTCTTCAGACCCAAGGAGACTCTTCAGACCCGAGAAGACTCTTCAGACCCGAGGAGACTCTTCAGACCTGAGGAGGAGACTCTTCAGACCCGAGGAGACTCTTCAGACCTGAGGAGACTCTTCAGACCTGAGGAGACTCTTCAGACCCGAGGAGACTCTTCAGACCTGAGAAGACTCTTCAGACCTTAGGAGGAGACTCTTCAGACCCGAGGAGACTCTTCAGACCTGAGGAGGAGATTCTTCAGACCCGAGGCTGGATGCTGCTCCGACACGTCTCATCAGAACCAACCAGTTCTGTCGTTTGATCCAGTTCTGATTTATGATCAGCGCTGCTCGCTCAGGCTGGTCAGACATGTTAGATAATGTTCTTCATGAATAAAGGAGGATCAAAGCGTTCATCGCTGCCCGTCTTTGATTAAAACCATCAGAAACAAATAAAATGATTCGAAGAAGAAACGTCTTCGAGCCTCAGGCGTGAAGAAACCGACTGTTTAAATCACGTACAAGAGAAAATAAAGAATTTATTAAGCTAGTTTGACCTGACCCGCTCCGTCTCTGGAGGTCTCGGTGACCCAGATGTCAGAGTGTGTACCAGGATCCTGGTAATCTGGCCCAGTTCTGACCCAGTTCAGGTCCCAGGGTGGACCCGAGCTCATTTAGGTCGTTTTGATTCCACACAGCAGGAAGTTTAAAAAGATCTGATGCATCCGCACTTTATTTTAAGGCGGTTCTGATCCACAGTCGTCCAAACGTTCAGAGGGTTTGTGCAGAATCAGTGTTTCTAACAGATGTCGACCCTCCTGCTGCCCTTGGGTCAAAACCACGAGGCCTTGTGGGTCCTCTTGACCCGAGGGCAGCAGGAGGGTCGAACACCTCAGAATGAACGACGTCACGGAAATTTACTGAAGCTGAAACCAAGTTAAAACAAGAACAGCAGCTACAAGGAGCAAAATGCTAATTAGATGTACCAAAATACAAGCTAAAAGAAGCAGACAAGGCTAAAAGCAGCTAAACACAAGCTAGAAGCTGATTGTACTAAAACACTAGCTACAAGTAGCTAAATGCTAGATAATAGCTCCAAAAACAGCATCTTAAAGCTACAAACGCTAAATATCAACCACATCTAAAGGAGTAAAACCCAAATCTGGCATAAAGATAAATATTAGTTAAAAATGGTAAAAGGCATCAAAAGCTGACTCAGCATTCAAATATTACTGAGTCACCGAGTTTGTAACATTTCATCAGAACAATTGTTATATATAATAAAATCTATTATATAATTATAAATATATATATTTTCAACACGTTTGCCTGGGAACAAAATCTTTTTTACATCTGTCGTTTCCTTATAAATTGTCCATTTTTGACCCTTGTAGTTTCACCGTGTGTGAGTTTCTCCATTAGGAATAAATCTTCCATCACTGCAGCCCAGTGGCTCCTTGATGGCGTTTCCACAGCTTTTTATTCATCAGTCATGAAGGAGTCCCTCTGAAAGTTTACCAAGCACTTCAGGTTCCAGTGGGACTTTGTCCTCCAACACTTCACTGATCATTTCCTAAAACACTTCTTCAGGCGTTTCCATAAAACGTGACTGGTCCTCGCCCCGTCGTCTTTTCAGCCGTTTGCTTCTCAACTTTGTTGTAACAAAAAATCTTGTTCTTCCAGGACAACTTTGTGTTGTAGTTGTTGAAAACTAAAACCCGCCACGCCCTCAGAGGTCCAGTTTTTATTCTTCTGATCAAACAGAGCAGGTTTAAAATTGTATTATTTGTCATCCATTTTAATTTTCATGCAATTTCCTGGATGTTTTGTATCTTGGGTATTTTAAACCATCTAGTGTGTTTAGTTATAGGATCCAAAGAGACTTTATTCCTTTCAAAGTTTTGAATCGGCTGTTGTTGTTTCAACATCTTTCCATTTTCCACAATAATCTGGTTTACATCAATATTACAGATGTTTTATTTGAACGCATAATAAAAACTATTCTCTTAATTTCAGTGAAGACCTCCCTCCTGTTCTTTGGCTAGCTGAAGTTCAGTCTCTGACCCATGATCCTGCCTCTGCTTGTAAACGGATCTAGTCTGACCTCTTTTGGTAACTCCTGGAACAGAAACCTCAGAATGATTTTAACAATATGAACATTTCCTCCTCATCTATTCATTTTTATAATTTTATTTTTTTTCTCTTCTAAATATCTGGTACTTTTGGGTTCCCTGTTGAATTTAGAGGTTTTCTTCACATCTTTTGTGTGAATATAATTTTATTTAATTAATTTGTGTTTTAAGGCGACACAGTGGCTCAGTTGGTTTAGCTGCTCTCAGAGAGAAGGTTGCCGGATCAAATCCCAGCTGGGTGGAGTTTGCATGTTCTCTCCAAGAAGAATTGAAATCAAACTCCTCGCTCCTTCAGTGTCTTCATGCTCGTACACATGCGTCGTTTCTGAACCAGTTCTGTTGGGTAGTCGTGGTCCAGCTGGACTGGACGGTCTGCTCTTCCAGACTTTCCTCTAAATCATTTCCTTCGTTTCAGACTTGAAGAAATTGATCACCATCGTTGGAGGTTTAACCCCCTCACCGTCCTCTGGTGATGCAAATATACCAACGTTGTTTCCTCGTGGTCTTGCTTCAAGGTCCGTCATCTTGTCACGCATGTAGCGCATCTTGGTTAGCGTATCGAGTCGTTGGCTTCGGTGTTCGTGTCCTCTCACTCGTTCTGGGCCTCGGTGAAGTTCGTTCACTGGTCTTCCAACTCTTAATTACTCTGTGAATTTATCTTCCGCATCTAATCGAAGAGAATTGATTTCTTGCTTTATATCTGCTCTGCTGCCTTCATACATCTCCTCCTACATGTCTCTGCGTGAGTGCAGCTACAGCGTGCGCTCTCAGGACATCATTACCTGCAGTGTTCCCTCACTAGACAAAATGACCTTCTCCTACTCCGCTCCTGTTTCCTGGAATATCTTGAAGATCTGAAGCTCTCGACCTTTGACCTCTCTTAGTGGCTTCAAACATCTGTTCAGTTCCTGAGAAAAACCAACGCAGACGTGTTCCTGTTTTTAGTTTTCTACAGCGCTTCATAATCTAGATGTTTTTTCGCCACTTTGTTTCCTTTTGGCTGCCATTTCATTTTAATTTGTAAAATAAATAAATCAGTATGCCTTTTACGATCGTCTATTGTCGTTGTCACCACTCTTTGTTAAAATCAGGTCTCTTGTGAGGCTCAATAGGACAAACTGTCAAAATAAAGGTTGAATGAATGGAACGGGTTGAGCTCCGTCCAGAAAGTCTTCAGGAGTTCATTCATGTCTCGGCTGATTTTGGTTCATCCTGCCGCCCGTCCGTCCACTTGCTGCTGTCCCGAAGCCTCCGCCACGTTCTCGTGTTCGTTTTCATCCTTCGACTCAGACATTTTGCTTTTTTTAACGTTTTTTCAGAGAACCGGCTCCACTCATCCCAACACCCCGTTTTACTCAGAGTTCACTTTTTGTGGTGATTTTAGTGAACAGACGTGAGGGACCGTGTCGTCCGCCATCGTTCCGGAAGCCTCCATGCTATATTTTGTTTCGACTGGTTTTTGTTTTAGAAACAAGTTTAAACTTTTTCTTGCGCTGCACTTCTGTAAAGAGAAGTCCACCCCATCCAATCAGAACCTCGGTTCTGATCATCTGGATCGATCCACTCGGCTGAAAAGAAAAGGCGCGTCCATCGAGGCCCGTTTGTACAGAAAACTTTATTAATGTGCTTTTGAAAATCTTGACAAGGTCCCAGAGTTTTACTTCTTGTTCAGGTCTGAGCTCATCGAGGGAACCGAGCAGCGGATCATTCAAACCAAACTTTATTTAAACACAGAGAGCGCCGACACACAGTAATTCAAAATACTTTATAAATACAGTATTCATGAAAATAAAGACAAAAAGAGTTTGTTTGAGAGGGAAAACCCAACAGGACGATGAAGATGATGATGAAGGTGTTTTGTGTTCCTGACCTGGTTGATGAAAAGGTTCTGACGGGTCTGGGTCATGATCCCCGCCTGTCTGTTGCTTCATCAAGTAAAGAGAAGAAGAGAATCTACAGGTTCAGGGTTGAAGTGTCCAACGATGACGAGCAGGAAGTGTCTGATGGTTAGTGAGGAAGAGGAGGGAGTGGATCTTCACCTCACAGCCCCGCGTCGTTGTAGGTGGGACTGACCGCCTTCAGGATGCTCTGAGCGTTCTCCTCCAGGAGGGGGCGCCACTGCACCTCCCCTGTGAGCAGGAGGTCCTCACTGTCCAGGGAGTCGATGAACTGCATCTGCAGACACAACGAGCCACGCTTACAACAACAACAACAACAACAACAACAACAACAATCCAGAGTCAAACTGCACCTGCAGGCAGAACCAGAATGTTTAGAGATATGAACAAACAACAACAACAACTCAGATCAGTAAACATCGATGCTCCTGATCTCAGCTGGTCCACAGAATCCATGTGTTCCACTCAGACCTCTGCCCCACCATCGGGTCAGAACCACAGATCCATCCTCCTGATCCAACAGCTCAGGAGGACGTTTGTTTGCTTCAGGTTTTAAGTAACCTCCTTTTCTCCGGTTCTTTACATCATCTAGAAAACATTACTAATCTGTTTGTGTTATAAATTATTTACTGTGTGTGTGTGTGTGTGTGAACACATGATGTCAGTAAAACACCAACTAACTGAGAAAAGTGAATAAAAACCAGAACCTGCCTCCAAACCTCGTCTGAGATCAAAACTGAAAAACTTGTGATGCAGCATCGTTTGTTTACAACAACATGTGGAGTGTTTGTTGAGTAAACAAGATCAACGGAGGAGTTCTGCTTCCCCCAACACGAGGAATGTTGATGAAAACGTTCTCTGGTCCAAGGAACAACATTTATCTCGTTGTAAACGCAGACCAGAGACACGCAGGAGCTTCCATGAGTCCGTTTTCATTCAGAGCTGCAGCAGAACGAGGGGGTTCTTACAGAAACCCGGTCCGGTGGTTCTGTTTGGTACCTGCTTGCGGACGTATTCCACCATGAGCTCCAGCTGTCGGGGGTCTTCACACTGACAACAGAAGAGGTTTCTCCACAGAGCTGCAGCCAGCACGTGGTCATCGGACAGGATCCCCTGAACAAACAAACAAACATTCTTTATTTACATCAACAGCTGGTTCAAACATCTGGGATCTGATGAACGGTTTAAATGTTTGAAATCGTGCCAGACCTCATCGTAGCCGAACATGGCTGCGTAGAAGTTCTCCGTCATGGCTTTCGTGGCTTCTTTTCTATGAACGGAGTTGACCTGCAGCAGAAACAGGAAGACGACGAGGAGACGAGTCACAACAGAAACCCCTGAGAGTCCAAGTCCACCATCGACCTTCAGTCAGTGGAATCCTAAACCTGCTCTGGGTTCAACTCGTAAAAACATCCACGTCTTCGGACAGTTTTGTGACTTTTGTCAACGTCGCTCGATGTTCTGTTGCCCAACGAGACAGAACTCTGGTCCTGATGGAACCGCAGTTCGGACGTGCTTTGACGAAAAAACAAGAATCTAAATATTTGTGTGAAGTCGCAGTTAGAAGTTTCCTGCAGGAGAAACTTCTGAACGTTTGTTTCCAAATAAAAGTTTTTACTTCTCATAGTTGCTGGACAACAATCCATCACACATCTATGACCCCCAGCCTTAACACAGGAGCCCCTCAGGGCTGTGTGCTGAGCCCCCTGCTCTATGGCCTCTACACACGACTGCACCCCTGCTCACCACAGCAACACCATGGCCAAATTTACTGATGACACCACAGTGGTGGGGCTCATCAGTGGGGGGTGAGTCCGCCTACAGGGACGAGGGGGAACAACCGACTGCTTGGTGCAGGGGGAACAATCTGCTCCTCAACACCTCAAAGACTAAAGAGCTGATCATTGACAGAAAAAAGAAAATGGCGGTCCCACCCCTGATTATAAGCAGAAACAGTGTGCAGGGAGTAGCTGACTACAGTTTCCTGGAGACCACGTGAAAACCTCTGAGCTGCTGAAAAAGGCCCAGCAGAGACTGGACTTCCTGAGTGCGCTCAGGAGGAACATCACCCAGAGACTGCATGCGTCTTTCTACAGATGCTCCGTAGAGAGCGTCTTAACATTCTGCATCACTGTGTGGTGTCTTAGCTGCACAGTGGATCAGAGGAAAGTGCTCCAGAGAGTTATCAACAGAGCCCAGAAGATCGTGGGCTGCCCTCCTCTCTCAATGGAAGATCTACACAGTTCCTGCTGCACAGGAAAAGCCCATAACATGTTAAAGGACACGTCCCACCCTGGACATGTTTGACCCGTTACGGTCAGGGAAAAGGTTCCGATCAGTCAAGACGAGAACAAACATTTAAAAATTGTTTTTATCCGTGAGCCGTTACTGAACTTAAAATCTGTAATAAGAACTGAACAAGTGCAATAAGAGACAACTAGTGTGATATCAGTCTGCCTGTGATGCACATTTGGAGTGTTTCAAATCTGTAACTATTACCTTTTATACAGTTTTATATATAAATATATATATATATATATATATATATATATATATATATATATACAGTGAACCCTCGCGATAACACGGTTCACCTTTCACGGTCTCGCTGCTTCGTGGATTTGCATCGTGCATTGTGTTCTGCATTCTGATTGGCTAAAGAGTCTCTCCAGTACAGTAGTTATTTGTAAAAAAATTTTTTACAGTACTTTTATTTGTTAAACAAATGCTTGGGCCTGTAAAAAGGTTTTGTTCTTTGGTTTGAATGTATTATGGAGTATTTCATTGTATAATAATTGCAAAAAAAATAAAGGTTACTATTTCGCGGGTTCTTTTTGGAGCGTAACCCCCGTGAAAAACGAGGGTTCGCTGTATAGATGTATTTTTTCATTCAACCTTTATTTAGATAGGTTAATCCTTAATAATAAAAATCAATAAAATAAAAAAATGACAAAGAAAAAAATCATTAAAAAAGGTTAATCCTTATTCAGACAGGTAAATATATATATATATATATATATATATATATATATATATACACACATATATATATATATATATATATATATATATTTGTTTTATATTAGAGTTTTTACTTTTGTTCTGGGAAGCAAACCCGAATTTCTTTGTACTCGTGTGCGACGACAATAAAGGTCTATTTTATTTTATTCTATTCTGAATTCTCAGCTGTAAAAAAGCACGATGGATTCGTTAAAGCTGTTAGAACATATTTTATATGTATCAAAGTGAATCCACGAGTTTTTACAAAATGTCTCGACTGTCCCGCGGGCGGCGCTGCTCGGTCCAGAACGTCCTGCGAGCTTCAGCCGCAGCGTTTGTTTGCTTTCAGCAGGAGGAAGCGATGAAGGCTTTTCCTGCTCTTCATCACAATCAACGTGAAACCCAAGAGCGGCTCCAATCACGGCTCGGGCCGAGCTCAGAACTGAACCCTCTGCTGCAGCTTAGAACCCGTCCCAGCTGATTCATTAAGTTAAAGAATAAACAGATGATGTCAGAAACGTTCTGGTGAACGGTGGGCAGCATCTAAACAAACAACAAACAACTAGTTGTTTATCTGTAAACACACGTTGCATACGTTCATTATCATTTTAACATCCTGTAATAAATTATTAAAGAAATTTGAATCTCAGGTACCGGACCAGATCTGGACTGCAGAGACCCACTGAGTGCAGGAATTAGTCTGCTCCCAGAACAGGCTTGGACTAATTGAGATGAAAACCGTTGTCAGATTAAAGGGATGTTCCGTTGAATTTTTAAAGTTGTGGAACCAAACTGAGGATCAGAGTGGACCATCAGAAAACAGGTTGGGTGTTAGAAACCTTCACAGATTTCTGCTTGAACCGACCCCCACAGGAAGTGCTACAACTAGCTGCTGCTGCCAACATCTTGGCAGAGAAGAAGAAGCGTGTATCCCAAACTGACGGCGACTCGGCGTTCAGGTGAACCGTAGAAACTTTCCACATCGGAGACACTTGAAAACAGCAGTGACCCACTTTGGTCCGGTTCTGATAGGACCAACGGTGAGCTCCTCAGTCCTGTCACAGTATTAAAAATAAAACTTTTTATTGTTAAAAGTTTTTTCCAGGGAATCAAAAGGTCTTCAGATTAAAACTTACAAGGAATAAAATACAAATTTAAAAAGAATTCAGAGTAAATTAGTTACAAAAAAGTTTCAACGAGAGATCGGAACGAGGACAGTTCAGCTCGGGAGCTCCAAACGGACGGGGCGGTGCTGGAGAACCTTCTGTCTCCACAGGTTCTGTTCCTGGTTCCATGAGGAGACTAGAACTCAGGGAACAAAGGATGGAGCTCAGAGGAGAAGATCCCCGACGGCCTGTTGGCTCGACTCTTCTGGTTTCAGAGTCTTTCCACCGGGCGGTCTCACCGGGTTCCAGCTCGGTTCTTTGGACCTACTGGGCCGAGCTGAATACGTCACTTAAAGTGGCCGGATGTAAACCAACACGTGGTGCTGTGAGGAGGAGCAGACACTCGATGACAGAACTCAGAGCTGGACTGAACCGACTTCTGACCGGCAGAGGGAAACCGTGACAGAGGATGGTGTCGCCCATGACTGCACCGTGTTGTGGACAATTAATAAACAAATAAATAAATAATAAATAAATAAAACATCACAGAAGCTTCGAGTGGCCGCGCTGTGACAGCACAGACGAAGTGGGTCGTGTTGAGACCGGACATGAAAACCAGACTGAGAGGCCTGGCTGAGGACGTTCTGCTGAAAGTGTTGAGGGGGGTCAGTGAAGGTTCTGAAGGTCCTCTCAGGGGTCGGGACCGGCTGTAGCCATGGCGACCGCAGCCAGCCTCGCTCTCTGAGGATCTTGGCTGGACTTCCCGCTCACGGCGTCGTGCTGCAGCACGGGCCGGCCCAGTTTAAAACTGAAGCAGAACCGTGAAGAAAACTCACTTTGATGGAAGAGTCTGTGTCGGTTTGAGGTCAGCGCTGATGAAGAGGAACCGGGCTGCTTCAAACATCATCCGTTTATTTCAAAACGTTAAAACAAGCCGTTCATAGTTTTCAGGTTTGATCCCGTTCATTAACGCAGGAAACTATGAGCTCTAAAAAACATTTACTGTCGGAGTTTTCTGCTTCAAATCAAACGGAGAATTTGGTTTGGGAACATTTTGTTTAAAAGGAGAAACGGATCTGAACTCCCGATGATCTTTGTTAAAGATTTAGAAACTACAACTATAAATATTGAATCTAAGCGGAACGGAACATTAAATTTGTGGATTTTAGTTTTGCACTTCTGAACATTTTCCAGAGAAAATAAAACAAACAGACTAAAGCAGCTTTCAGCAAGTTTCAAATTCAGAGAACATTCGGGTTCAAATGTAAAACCTACGAGTAACAAGACCAGAATCTAGTTCATAGACATTTAGGTTCAGTCCAAATCATTAAAACAAACAAAAACATATATGACCGACCACCGACATGTTGGACTGTAAATGAAGCCTGTTGTCCAGGTACAGGTTCTGAACAGCGTTGGTTAAATGTCTGTTGTGTTTATTTACACGTTTGTTTACATGTCAATCGCATCTGTTTACAATGTCTGTTCCATTTGTTTCCACGTCTGTTGCGTTTGTTTACACGTCTGTTGCGTTTGTTTACACATCTGTTGCATTTGTTTACATGTTTGTTGCATTTGTTTACATGTCTGCTCCATTTGTTTACACATCTGTTGCATTTGTTTATGAACCTGTTGTATTTGTTTACATGTCATTTGCATCTGTTTACATGTCATTTGCATCTGTTTACATGTTTGTTGCATTTGTTTACATGTTTGTTGCATTTGTTTACACGTCTGTGGCACTTGTTTACATGCATGTGGTGTCAGGACACGTCACACGTGTGCACGTGGAAGCGACTCACCCCCATGATTTTGCTCCTCTGTTCGACGTCCCCCCACATGGAGTGGACGATGTAGTGACACAAGAACTTTCCCTCGCGGCCTTCCTGACGCATCCGGACCAAACACATCCTGACAGAACCAGAACAGCAACCAGTGAGGAGCAACCAGTGAGGAGCAACCAGTGAGGAGCAACCAGTGAGGAGCAACCGAGACGACAGCAGCGTCTACGTGAATCTGGAGGTTGTTTTTAGATCCAGTGAGCTCTGCACCTCCTCGGTCCACACAGGCAGCACCTGTGGAGCTCAGAGGACGTCCTGAAAGATCAAAGTGTTTTTTTGTTTTCGTGTGACTCACCAAACATGCAGCTGTGTGACCAGAAACCAGGAGTTCAACGTGTCCGGCAGCGAGCATCCTGCAACAAACACAGTCTTAACTTAAACGTTACAAAACACTGCAGACTCTGCAGAGGGGGGATCAAAGAGCAGCTCGATCCAGAGTCTGGGGCCACAACAAAGACCTGATCCCCGCGGATCTCTAGGCCGGATCTGCTCTAGAAGCCCCGGCTAACACACGTACTTTCAAAGAAGTCGTCGTAGTTGATCCTCTCGACACAACACGTGTACATTCTCAGGGCAGCGATCTTGATTTTCTGAAAACACAAAAATCAGCGACTCGTTTTACACCCGAGACAAATTTCTAGTAAAAACTGTTGGAATTTAAAAAAATGGTTCAACAAAAAGTTTCCAGCTGAACAAACTGGTCAGACCTAGGGTGGCAGGAGTTTTAAAGTTGGAAACTTTCTGTAGGAAATGATCAGGAATTAATGAGAAGAGGACAAACCTGGACGTTAAAAAAAAAACTGAAGGTGGGCCCTTAAATAAAGTTACGAGGAAACGTTTGAACAACATCTGGACTAAAACACCCAGATCTTACTGATGTGCTGCAAAAAAAATCCCACAATTTACAGAAACTGTTCTTCCTGTTTTCATCAGAACCCCTGAATGTTTCAATCAGAACGTCCTCACTGGGTTCCAGAGACAGAACCGGCCGTTTCTGCAGCTCGAAATGTAAATCCGATTCCTCCTAGAATCAAAGCGCCCGTTTGAGCTCTGCTCACCCATTTGTTGTATTTGAGCGGCGATGGGAAGCCCATGGCCTCGAAGAGTTTGGTGAAAGCTCCGACCTCCTCCTGCGCGTGTTGGGCCGTCTCCTTCACGCTGCACAGCTGCAACACAAAACATAAACAAAATGGCTCCTTAACACCAAAAGATCAAAACTCAAATCATTTCCTACAAATCTTCTCTTCGAGCTCCGTGTCAGAAACGACCGAGGCGTCTAACAAACAGAACTGGTCAACACGTCCTCCATCTTGATTCTCAGGGCGGAGATATTTGAACTCTTAACGAACGTCCACAAACTTGAAATAAATGAAGTCATTTTTAATTTAAGGGTCATGCAGGTTTGCAGCTCTAAACAAAAGTTATTTTAAGGAGAACAGAAACAACAGGCTCCTCATAAAGATCATGATTTTTAGCCAGCTGAAGCTGAGAGCAGGACAGAACTGCACAGCTGAAGACTTTTAAACTGCTCAGCTGTGAAGTTAAATAAGGATCAGAAAATACCACAAACTTTAAAGAAATGACAGAAAGAATCCATCAAAAATATTAAAGATGGAAGCGTCACTGAGAAAAGATTAAAAAATAAAATCCGCCTCCGTCTGCTCAGATCCTTCATTTCAGAGTCACTTCTTCCAAGGGATCAATTAAACCCAGAAGACTCCCGACGCTCCCGGGCTTGTGGTACCTGAGAGTCCATGTGCAGAGTCCGACCCGGTGCCGAACAGCTGATTCTGGTCCACCGACAGGCTGCTGAAGCTCCCGCGTAGGTTTCCTGCTCCAACACCTGCAGGAAACAGGAAGTGAGCTCACACAAACTCACGACATCATTCAAAACTAAAACGAGGACAGAACAAACTATTTTACATCAAATGTGACTTCATGCATCACTTTTATAAAACGCCACCAATCTCAAACTATTTCTGCTCCAACTGCAGTTTTTCTCAACAGAAAATTTTACTTTTTATTATATTAATAAAATACACCTGAAGTTTGAACACAAACTGGACATAGTTTGGTTAATAGTCTTTAAAGAATGAAAAGATATAAGAAGTCCACAGTCAGGATGGACGAGCTAAAATCGGATTATTTGGGTGTTTTTCATCGATTCAACTGAAGCAGCGGGAACAGGTTGTTTCTGTGGGACACGGGAGTCCGAGTTTAAACCCGTCTGTTTCAGTCGACAACTCTGGGTTAGTTTTTGACTGTCGGAGGCGTTTCGTGTATGAATGACTCAGAGTTCAGCTGTGAACACAACGGATCAGTTTGAAGGACTGAAAATGAACGAAAGAAACTTTGGCAGTCAGGAGAACTGCTGATCAGGACACGAGAAACAAAGAAATGAGGATTTTACACAGGAATGCACGTGTACATATGATTTTTAACAATCAAATAATATCTCTGAGAAATGTTGCTGCTGCTCTGACTAAAACTGCACTGTGACAAATTATTACACTTATTATTTCTAATGTTCGTTTACGGTTTGATGACTCAGTTTATGAATTGAATCATCTACAAGAAGAATCTGTTCCTCACTCTGGCTTAACTCCAACCCTGGCAGGACCATTTAAATATTTATATAGTTTATTTTTATTGGTTAAAGGTTGGAATAACCAGAATCTGCATCGATAGCAAACGAGAAATGAGCCAGACATCCATCTATTATTCTGTCTTTATTTCAGACGTAGTCATGACAGTGTAATTTAAAACTTTAGCCGAGTTACTGAAGGAGCAAAAGTTGTTTTTTAACCATCAAACAAGAAGTTGGTTTGTTTTTAACTACCGATAAAACTAAAATCAACCTGTTTGAATTGTCAGCTATGTAATATAATATATATATATATAATTTATTGTTATTCTAGCAACTTGAAACGCTTCTCAACATCCATTAAAGAATATTTGTTTGAAGATTCATGACAATCTTTTGAAAATATGTAGAAATTATGACGTTTTGAGTTTATATTTGAAACCAACTACTGTACATAATATAATTAGTAAATTATTTTTCTCTTTCGATATAATTTGTTTTGATAAACTACCTCTTTTAAAGTTTTTATTTAGCACACCCTACTACATTTATAACAAAACGCATGTCATTTGAACACATCAGAATAAATTTGATTTCGTTAATTTCGCTCTCAACCTGTCCCGGGCTCACGGACAGCTCCGGGAGCTTCAAGCTGGACCCGAACAAGCAGTTCAGACCGACACTTTTCATCTTTGCTTCTTTTTTATCACCAGCTCTGCAGTTAGCCTCCAAGCTAAGGCTAACAGTTAGCCTCCAGGCTAAGGCTAACAGTTAGCCTCCAAGCTAAGGATAACAGTTAGCCTCCAGGCTAAGGCTAACAGTTAGCCTCCAAGCTAAGGATAACTGTTAGCCTCCAAGCTAAGGCTAACAGTTAGCCTCGAAGCTAAGGTTAACTGTTAGCCTCCAGGCTAAGGCTAACTGTTAGCCTCCAAGCTAAGGTTAACTGTTAGCCTCCAGGCTAAGGCTAACTGTTAGCCTCCAGGCTAAGGCTAACTGTTAGCCTCCAGGCTAAGGCTAACTGTTAGCCTCCAAGCTAAGGCTAACAGTTAGCCTCCAAGCTAACTGCAGCTTGGAGTTGCTAGCTAGCCGTTACCTTCGCGCGGGCGCTCCTGCTACTCGCCGCTCTCACGACGCTTCTGGCGGCAACCTGCAGCGGCCGCCGGTACATGGCTGCTCCAAAGTCCCGGTGTCAGAACCGAGGAGCGGGCTGCCTCTTCGCTGCGGTCACCCGCGGCGAACACTTCGGGTTTGATATCACCTGTCCCAGCAATGTCAATGGAATCTGTACGGCAGCGAGTCTCGTCCGACCAGAACACCGCGGAACGAAGAAAGGTTCCGATTGCCTTGATAACAGTGACGTCACTGACGGACATAGATGGGTTTTTTGGGGGCGATATGTAAAAAGGATTAAACCTAATATTTTTTGCAAATTCATTTAGAATGCTTTTATAAGGTTTGTTACAATTTTTAAACAAATGAGACATTAAAACCCAGTGGCTGTATGGAGCTCCTGAAGTGCTATCAGTGATTTTGGTTTTATTCTTGTGTGCAAATATAATGTACATGTAGAAATATTAATGGACTGACATGCAAGAATTAAACATGAATATACACTCTCAACTCATTAGATGAAGTCAGATGCATTTTTTACTGTTACACTTTCTAATAAAAACATAAATAAAAAAAAAGGTTAAAACGTTTAGGAAAACTAAAGCCTTGGTTGTGATAGTTTTATTCTAGAACAAGATGTTTAAGCCAACGTTTTTTCATCTCAGCAAGTAAAAGTGTCTTACAGAAATCAAATTAACTTGAAAATAGGTCAATTGTGTATATTTTACCTACAACAATAAGCTAAAATTGTTGCTTTATTCTTTATCATAAAGTGTGGTGAAGGAAGTCATTTACGTCAAACGAGAACAAATTTTAAACAGAAGAGTTCTCAGAGTTTAACTTTATAAAACTTAGAGCAGCTTTATGCCTGATCCCAGGTCAGCTCCAGTCCAGTTCACACCTTCATGCAGGTGACCCAAACTTCTCGCTGAACCAGGCAGACAAAGAGCCCAATGAGCCTCCACTGTGAGGGTGAGTAGTTACTGTCTAACCTGCAGCTGATCTAGGAACAAACCAGGCCTCTCGTGCAGTTCTCTGAAGCTGAGGGCGCCAAACACTGCAGACATTTTAGACCTGATGAAGACAAACGTCTTCCGAACATGATTTAGAGTTGCATCCAGGCCAAAAAATCCAGCCCCAGCCCGTAGCCATCATTTCCGAACCCCACTCGACCTGACAAATTAACAGCAACACCCCACCCCACGACATTTTAAATTAAACTTTGACTGCTTATATAGTTATTAATGGTCGGCGGACGCACACGGCTGAGTTTAAGGGGCAGAAGGTCGGAGCTGAGGGGGTGTTTGTCCTTTCATGGCCGTCAAAGTTCATTAAATCCCTGCTTCTGCTGCATTCTGCATTATTCACACACGGACCGTGCTCTGACATGTCGGATATTTTGTGATCTCACCTGTTTGGGTCGTCAACCATACGATACCAACCATAAAAATAGAAATAAAAACAAATATAGAAAATATACGTGAGAGTAAAAAATAAAAGTAAAATCATGATTTTATAAAATATTATGCTGGAAACCAAGTTTGATGCAAAAAACATGCTTACCACTGGAAAAAAGTTTTATACATATTTTGTTTTAATAAATATTCAATTTTAAAACATGTTTATACTTTATATATTTTTTTAATGTTGTTTCATGTTAAAATAATCCATCCATCCATTATCTTTTACTCGCTTCTTCCATTTTGGGTCACGGGGTCGCCGATGCCCATGTCCAGCAATCACTCTGCGAGAGGGGCGGGGACACCCTGGACGGGTCTCCGGTCCATCACAGGGACACATAGAGACAAATGAGACAGCCATTCACTCCCTCACTCTCACCTAGGGCCAATTTAGAGTCACCAATCAGCCTAACATGCATGTTTTTGGTCTGTGGGAGGAAACTGGAGTACCGGAGAAAACCCATGCATGCACGAAGAGAACATGCAAACGCCACCCAGAAAAGCACCCGGACCGGGGTTTGAACTGGGGACCTGCTCGTTGAGAGGCAGCAGCTCTACCAGTTGCGCCACCGTACTGCCCATGTGAAAATAATTTGAATTCCAATTTTTTTTTAATAAAGTTTAAAACGTTTATTATTTATTATCACATTTTTTTCCCTCAGGTCTGTTTTGGGGTAAACCAGCCATTAGGGAGCACAAGCCAGTGTATCGCTGGTTTTGGTCTCAAGCCTGGGCAAATGGTGAGGGTTGTGTCAGGAAGGCATCCGACATAAAACATTTTTGTCAAAACTATAATGGGAGTTCATCAAAGTGAAACCATACTGGATCGACCATCGGTGCTGTTGACAAACAGGGTGCCGGCGGAAATTGTGCTACTGTTGGTTGAAGACCACGAGGAGGGACACGTGTCAGGAGACAGAGGGAGAAGAGGAAAGTCAAGAATGTAGGACTGAGGGTTGCAACTCTAAATGTGGGGACAATGACAGTCAAAGGTAGAGAGCTGGCTGACATGATGCTGAGAAGGAAGGTAGATGTTTTGTGTGTCCAAGAGACCAAATGGAAGGGCAGCAAGGCTCGCAGCATTGGAGCAGGGTTCAAACTGTTTTACCATGGTGTGGATAGAAAGAGAAATGGAGTAGGGATGGTCCTGAAGGAGGAGTTTGCAAAGAATGTAGTAGAGGTGAAATGAGTGTCAGATAGTGTGATGTGTCTGAAGGTAGAAGTAGAAGGTCTGATGCAAAATGTTGCCAGCAGTTATACTACACAGGTTGGATGTGATGTGGAGGAGAAAGATAAATTGTGGAAAGCTCTGGATGAAGTGATGGAGAGTATTCCCAGGGAGGAGAGAGTGGTGATGGAAGCAGACCTGAATGGACACGTTGGTGAAGGAAACAGAGGGGATGAGGAAGTGATGGACAGGTTTGGTGTCAAGAAAAGAAACCAGGAAGGACAGGTGGTGGTGGATTTTGCCAAGAGAATGGAAATGGCTGTCGTCAACATCTATAGTACAGTAGCTAAAAGCTAAACAGAACAAGACAGTAGCTAAAGGCTAAACAGAACAAGACAGTAGCTAAAAGCTAAACAGAACAAGACAG